GCCAGCTCTGTCTGACTTGGTAGCCGAAAAGAGCAGGACTGGGAGCAGCAGCCTGTATGAGCAGTCTTGTTTGGTAGCTAAACTGAGCCAGTATGAAGATGGGTGGGGATGGGGCAGAGACAGGCATAGACACCTGCTGGTCTGAGCCACAGATAAGCTGGTGGCAGAAGCAGTGAGGGCAGATGGTGGCTGGAGAGGTTATCTTTGGGCACCTGGATAGACAGGGACACCCACCTCTGGAAGGCAGCACTGTCAGAAGGAGTAACGTGGGGAGATGGAAGGAGAGGCATGTCACTGCTGAAGGGGAGCCGTGACCCCATGGGTATGTAAGCACCTGCGAGGTGTCTGGGGTCACAAACCTAGGGATTGATCCTGCTCTGGTACACTGGGCTCTGGGGCAGGGAGGGCAGTGGGAAGGACCCTGTTTTACAGCCTCAGGAGCTTCCTTCTGGGTACCCTCGGCTTCTCATACACTATTCCCCAGCCTCTTAACCATCACCCACACCAGCCTCAGGACCTTCACACATGCTGTTCCCTCATCCTGAATCCCTTCTTTACAAGGTTGACTGTTCAACCTTCAGCTCAGTGTTACCTCCTTTGGCAGCTCCTCTGCTGTCCCATTTATAGCCTCCCCCCTTTCTTTTATTCCTTTTCTCTTTATTTTGTTCCTTCCTTCTTTTCCCTTCCTTTCCTCCTTTGACAAGGTCTCACTCTAGCTCAAGCTGGTCTGGAACTTCCTGGGTAGCCCAGGCTGGCCCTGAACTAATGATACTCCTCTTCCTTTGGACTCCTGAGTGCTGGTTCTCGGTATCAACCACTGTGCCCACACGGCTCTTCCACCTTCCTATTTAACATGTGCGTGTTTTGTTCACTGGGCTTCTCTGGTTACCTAAAACACATACATTCTTATTTGTTTCCCTTTGGCTCTCCTGAGCCTGGCACACAGTAGATGCTCAGTGAGTGTTTGTTGAGTGAATAAATGAACAACAAAAGAGACAGCTGAGCAAAAGCAGATGGGAGGACCAGGGGATTCTCGTTCTCCCTTCTCCTGTCCTGGCCCCGCTGGGTCTCAAGGACAATTGCAGCGGTGGCGGTGGTGGCGGGAGTGTGCTTCCCTAGGGAGTCAGAGTGAAAGGGACTCCCAACATCTGAAGGGTCCCTGGAGTGGCTGAGGGGGAGAGGTACCAGTTTCCAAGTAGAAATAGAAGGGGTGGGCTTTTTTGATGTCCCCAGCACCTTGGGGCTGGAGACAGACAGGGGCTGTCCCCAGGGTCACCATGTCTTCACTCCTTACACTACAGCTCAACACACAGTGGTTTTTAACCTTTGCTTGGGGAGACAGGGTCTCACTCTGTAGCCCCAGTAGGCTAGCTGGCTGTGAGCTGGCATTGATCCTCCTGCTTCTTCCTCCCCCAATGTTTTACCCACTGAACCGTGTGCGTTACTCGGTGGGACCAATGCTTTCTAAGAAATGTGAATTCTTTCGCTCCCTATGTGAGCACCGGGTGAGGAGGTGGCCGTCAGTGAGGCGGGGGATGGGGCGTCCAGCAAAGCCTGGTCATCCTGTACCCTGACCTCTGCATCTTGCTTCCAGGGTTTTGGAAGTCAGTATCTAACGGCTGAGGCCTCTCAACATGGTTATTTGTCCCAGGAACCTGTGCTGAAGGTGACAGGGCCCCCAGTCTGGCTTTTCCCACACGGTCCTCCTAAATTCACGGAGAACCAAGAACCTAGGCCCGGACCAAGCAAGGTCAGAGAATTTCTTCTAGGCGTTTCTTTGTCCAGCTCTGAACTCTAAGTTCACACAGATCCATTACCCGCTCACACTCCTCCCAGCCCCGGCCTCAGATCCTGTCTCCTGCCCCACAGCCATGCTTCTAAAGCGCAGAACACATAGTAAATCTTAAAAAACCAAAAAATGAGGTTAGCCTCAGGACCACTGTGTGCTGGTCAAAAGGTTGTGCAATGTACAGGCATCACGGCCACGCTCTTGGACTTCACCCTAGAGGTTATAGGGAGACATTAAAAGGTTTTTCCATCAAGTGCAATTACTTTTTTTTTTTTTTGGCCCGTGTGTGTAAGTGTACTACATGCATGCCTGGTGCCTATGGAGGCCTGAAGAGGGTGTCAGATGCCTGGGACTGGAGTTATTTGTGGTTGTAAGCTGCTGACTTGGGTCTTCTGTAAGAGTACCCAGTGTTCTTAATTGTCCAGTCATTCTTTAAAAGGGGGAAAAATAATTTTTTAGATTTTTTTGATCACACGCTGAAAGTTCTGGTGGCCCTGACATCTCTTTCATCTGCTCCTTGGGGAACTTTATAGGCAGACACATCTTTCCACACTTCTGTGCTTCATGCATACATTTGTTCACCTGCCCAACAAGTGACCTCCAAGCCTCGGTTTCCTAATCTGAAGAATGGGATTAAACATAAAACTCACTCCTCATGGCAATAAACACATAGGAACCCTTCAGTAAAAGGTGATTTCTTGAAGGGTGGTGGTGACATATGTCTTTAATCCCAGCTCTCCAGCCCTCCAGAGGCAGAGGCAGGTGGATCTCTATGAGTTTGAGGCCAGCCTGGTCTACAGTGTTCCAGGACAGCCAGAGTCACTCAGAGAAAACCTGTCTTGAAAAAGTGGTTTTTCGCAGCTGGGTGTGATGGCTCGTGCCCTTCCATCCCAGCACAAGAAAGCTGAGGCAGGAAGACTGCCATGAATTTCAGACCATCCTGGGCAATAGAGTGAGACCCTCTCTCCAAAACAAAATAAAATTAAACAATAACGGGGCTGGGGAGACGGCTTAGTCGGTAAAGCCCTCATTATGTAACATTGAAGACTAGAATCTGGATTCCCAGAATCCACACAAAGCCAGACACAGTAGTAGTACATATCTGGAATCCCAGCATGCCTTGGGGAGATGGGAAAGCAAAGACTAGGGGATCTCTGGAAGCTCCAGGACAGTTAGCCTGGTGTGCACAACCATGAACAACAGATCCTGTCTCAAACAAGGTAGGAGGTGGGGATGGACATCTAAGATTGTCCTTTGACCTCCACACATACACGATGGCATGCGTGTACCCATGCTAACAATGACCACAAAAACAGAAAAAAAAAATCCACTACCCTGGAGGCTGGAGAGACGACTCAGTCAGTGATTAGGAGCACCGACTGCTCTTCAAGAGGACCTGGGTTCAATTCCCAGCACTACACAGTGGCTCACAACCATCTAACTCCAGGGGAGTTTCAGCACCCTCTTCTGGCCTCGGTGGGCAATGCAGACATATGGTCACACTCTGTTCTGCTGCGTGCCTTTCTCTGCTCAGCACTCAGGAGATAGCTCTGGATGTCCAGGACCGGCTATTGTACAAAGAAACTTTATTTTCCACGAAGTACACAGGATGTATGGAGGACTCTTCCCACTAAGCCTAGAATGGGTGGAAGGAGCCTGATCTAATGCTGGAAGGGCCAGTCTTAGCCTGCAATGCGAGCCTAGCATCCTCCCCACTCCACCCCTACATCCCCCATCTGATTTGCTTTCCCTGAGTTGAAATTATAATCCCTCAGGTCTGACCTTGGCCAAGGACAATGGTGCCCTGTAGGCTGACGACAGGAGGGGATAGAGTTACAGCGGGCTTCTGTGAGTGTCCCCTTGCATGCCATGGCTTAGTCTCCTAAGGAGGCCAGCAGGCTGGAAGAAGAGCAACAGTTTTTGCAGGGCCGTCTTGAATGTGGGAGGGAAAGAGCCCTACTTCTTCAACTAGCTAGAGACGCTGCCTCTTTGTATTCTTGACTCTCTGCTGCCCCCTTGTGTTTGTAAGGCTGGTGACGCCACATAATGTGTGTGTGTTGGAACTGGAGGACCCAGCAGGAATGGAGTTGGGGCAGGGAAATGCATCTCTATCTGTACTATAGCAACAGGGTCTCTCTTTCCCATCCACCAGATGTAGGTTGTGAGAGCAATGCCAGGCAGCTGTGATACCTCTTTTGGGGCACGTGCTTATCAAGAAATTGAAAGCAAAGATGGGGGGGTGGTGGTGGTGATATTCATCTGTAATATATTGGGAAGGACGGATTAGACATTAAGAATGTGAGCACTGCGGAGACTTTTCTGACCACGGGGACAAGGGTCTTCTACTCAGCTAGCCCCCACAGGCACAGCCAAGCTAGCCTTCAGAATCCTGGGCCAACCTCACAGAGCAGTTGACCAACTAGAGACAATAGCCCGCGTTTGTAACTGCAGTGGCCAGGGACTTTCCTAGCCTGCTCTTGGGGAAAAGATCCCAAGGCCTTGGCAAATGATACCTAAAATCAGAGGAATCCAGAAAGTTCCACCAGATGGCTAGGAGTTGATCAGACGGCAGCGCCCAGATCTCCAGATGTGAGAACGTTTTAAATACTGCATTAGAGAAGGCGACGCTGTCAGAACCTTGATCGCAAAGCGGAAGGAGCGAGGGGTACGAAAACTCGCTCCCGTTCTGTGCTCGCTCGACTCTGACAGCATTTGATGGGTCCCCCAAAGCAAGCTGAAATGGGCTGCGCTATAGGGTACACGCACTGTGCCGGCAGGTCTGCTCTGGCTGAGGCTCCTGACCCTGTCTCCTCTCCATCATAGACTTTGGGCCTTGCAGGCACCTGCCCATTTTGAAACCTTCTTCCCACAGCAGCTCCTTCTTGGAGTGGTACCCCCCAGACCAGAATTGGGAGTGTGGTCTTTGCAGGTGAAGGCTGTGACGCTCATCGATGAGATCTGTGAAAACTTTAATCTCTCTCTCTCCTCTCTCCCTCTTTCCCCCTCCCTCCCTCTCTCTCTCTCTCTCTCTCTCTCTCTCTCTCTCTCCTTCTCCNTGCTGAAGTGGCCAAGAGCCTGAGACTACACAGGTCATGGATGTAATGGTCCGTCCTGTCCCTTTAAGAGACAAGCCAGGCCCGCTCCCTCTCCTGTCTGCCTGAGTCCTTTCTTTTCCATCTCCCTCTCCACTTAGTCCCTTCCCCCTTCTGTTTCTCTCTCTCTCTCTCTCTCTCTCTCTCTCTCTCTCTCTCTCTCTCTGCTTCTCTTTCCCTCAACAAGGTCTCATGTAGCATAGACTGACCTAAATTCATTATGTAGCTAAGAATGACCCCGAACCTCTGATCTTCCTGCCTCTTCAAGTGCTGGGATTTTCAGCACTCACCACGGCCCTTGTCAGGCAAACCCTCTAGCAACTGAGTTACATTTACAACCCCCAAACCTTTCCATCTCTTGAAAACAAAAGGATCCTGGGCCAGCAGGGAAGGGACAGGTGTGAGGGAAATCGAACCTGTCCCCAAACTGCACCCACCATCACCGGCTTCCAGCCAGGGAGCCTACGAGTTCTGACCCAGCACCTGGTGTTTGCTGTTTGCAGGGGTCATAGGTCTCTGGCTCAGTCTGCCACGTAGGGAGAGTTCAAGCTGATGAAGCCAGAGCGTCGTTGCAGGCAGTTTTTACACAGGGAGTCTTGGATGTGGGTGGGCTTCAGCAGCATGGAGGAACACACTGAAGATTCCCAGCGGAGTCTCCAAGGGACCGTTTTTCTTGCGGATGGGTCTCTTTCTATATAATTGAAGAGCCTAGGGCCCAAGAATTGGGTGAAGGTTACTGCTGGATGTCACAGCAGGCCCAAAAGCTTCAACTTGCTCTGTCCTCAGGTCCCACTGTCAGGTCTGTCAATGTGACCACAGCGGCATGGCCAGGGAAAGTCTCTTGAGATGTCAGGGAAGGTCCATAGGCAGCTCCCTTCTCCTACACCCTGTCTGCATCCTGGATCAGAGCGGTCACCAGGCTGATGACCTGGAGAGCTGGCTGGACTGCTTCGTACTCTGCGAAAAGGTGGCACACGTTCTCTTGTGTCTCCGTCTGGCTCTTGGCCACAAACCCAAAGATCCTGGTGAGAGAAGACAGTCTGTGGGGATGTGGGCTAGGGAAGAGAGGCATCAAGCTGAGGGGGGTGTTGGAAGGAGAGGACACTCAGCTTGCGCCTCACTGCTTCTCCCCAAGCCAGCCGGCTGCAGTATTTTGCGTACTGCGTCTTGTGTGCGTGTGGTATGTACTTGTTTGCGGGGACATGGCATGTGTCCATGCATGTGTGTGGAGGTTGGTGTTGGATGTCTTCCTCAATTGCTCTCTACTAATTTTGAGACAAGGTTTCTCACTGAATCTAGAGCTCACCCATTGGCTAGGCTGGCCTGCCAATGAGCACCAGGGATCCGCTTGTCTCTGCCTCCCCAGCACTGGAGTTATAGACATACTGGTTGGCTTTTCATATGGGTTCTGGGGCTCTGACCACATGTCCTCATGCTTGGGTGACAGACACTTTCCTCACTGGGTCACCTCCCCAGCACTTCAGTATCTCCTTTTAATGGGGCAGCTAAAGGAAGAAGGTGCCTCCCTTGGCCAACTGGGCAAGCATTTATTTCAGACTCTGGGTCTCCATTTTGAATGGGGTTTCCTGAATACAAGACTTGGAATCTCCATTGGGGCAAGGATGTACTTGATAATCATCCCTACAGCTCTGAGATACAACCTGTGCCTCTGGCTCTAGATTGGGGGATCTCATAAGAGCCATATCACACTGGCTCCTAAGACCAAGATGGAAACACTAATCTTTCTTTCCTTCCTTCCTTCCTTCCTTCCTTCCTTCCTTCCTTCCTTCCTTCCTTCCTTCCTTCTTTCCTTCCTTTCTTCCTCTCTTCTTCTCACCCTCTCTCTCTCCCTCCCTCCCTCCCTCCTTCCCTCCCTCCCCTCCTTCCTTTATTTCTATTGAGATATGGCACTGCGGATTAATCCTCTTGTACACTGTGAAGATGTGTTGTTCTCATTGATTTAATAAAGAGCTCACTGGCCAATAGCTAGGCAGGAAGAGGTTAAGTGGGAGAGTCAAGCTGGGAGAATGCTGGGAAGAAGGGTGGAGTTGCCAGCCAGAGGCAGAGGAAGCAGGATGTATAGAGAGTAAGGTAACAAACCATGAGCATGTGGCAGCATGTGAATTAATAAATATGGGTTAATTAAGTTGTGAGAGCTAGTTAGTAACAAGCCTAAGCTATTGGCCGAGCATTTGCAGTTAATAAGTCTCTGTGTGGTTATTTGGGAGCTGGTTGGCAGGACAGAAACCTCCTCTGCCTACAAGAGGTCTCATTATGTATAGCCTGGAACTGACTACATAGACGAGGCTAGCTGGAACTGGCCTCGAATTCATAGTAATCCTCCTGCCTCAGACTCCTAAATTCTGGGATTACAGGTGTGTGCTGCCAAACCTGGCCTGCCCTCTTTCTGTCAGGTCTGGAACCCTGGCACAGGGCCACCTCTTAGAGCCACTGAGTGGTGGGAGGGGCTTACCTGGAAGCTTTGCAGTACTTTTGCCACCTGAAAGAAAGGGACACAAAAGGAGTGAGTGACGGGGCTCTAATGAACAGTGGGAATCATGTCTCCACTCTGCCATACCCTCTTAGGGTTCACAGGCCACCTCTGCTATTTCAATCCAGGTACCGTGGAAGGCAACTAGGCCTGGAGTGGCCTTCTTAGCTTAACTTGGCCTTGAACTTACTTCCGTTGCTCAGGGTCCATTCCACAGAAGCGAAGGGTGGCGAGTGGGTAGTGGCGTCGGAAAAACAACCTGGGTGGATGCAGAAAGAAAAGTCAGGCTGATGAGGGTCTATTCCTATGCTGTACCCCCCCATTTCAGCATTTCTGGGTCCCCCAAAGCTCAGACGTCCTGTCCTAGTAGGATTCTTACAACCTGTCATAGTTTCTCCCCCACTTTCTCCTCCCATGGAATGGATTTGCCTTATGCTCTTCTCTACTAGGGTCTTCTGCCACCCACCCCCATGGCATTCATTTTGTGAGGCCAGGAGTTACAGCTTGGTCTACTCTTGCCTGGTTAAATTAGGGCAGGCTTTGGCTAGGCTGAGTCTCCAAGTCCTGGGGCAAGCTCATTGCATGGTCTGAGGAGTCATTAGTGTCTGGCCTATTCACAGATTTAATCAGCACCTAATGAAAACTGCCTAACTTAAACCCTGTTGGTTCCAATGACGGAGGCCTAGGGAAGGCAGGGACCTTGTCTGGTATCACCCAGCATTTGCTAGCCCTTTCCATCTGGGGTGCTGACCTCTGTCCCCCACCTTCCCTCCAGCGCTGCTGTTAGGCTTGCAGCCCAGGAGCTAGGAGAGTCCCTTACTTTCTCTGGACATCTGTCAGAGTGATGCCCTGTTCAGTGACTTTGAAATGGACCACGGTAGGTGTGGGGAGGACATCCCTCTCCAAGGTGACTGAGATGGCCTTCTGCACAGCCAGGGCTCCGCTCAGGGTCTCCACGCTCACCGAGCTCAGGTACAGGGTGTGGCAGCCTATGGGATGCAGATATTGAGAGGGATCTGTAGCCAGGGTCTTACAATGTGTATGGATCACTGGGCTCGGGTCCAGGGACAGGAACAGGGCAGAGGGAATGCCTCTCTTCTCTAGGAATCCAGAGGGACCCTCTGAGAGCCACCAAACAGACTAGGAGTCCGAGGGTAACCAGAACTTTTTTTCCTCTACCTATGATCCACCCACCCACCCTTTGGTGAGAATAGGGAGAGAGAAAAAGAACAGGAGGAGGGGAGCCAGTGTTTAGGGGGAGGCGGTCACAAAGTAGGAGCCGCCACTGAGTGCTAATGGATGCTTGGCCTCTGGAAGTGGGGAGCATTGAAACCCTTAAGATTCAGACCCCATCCCCCTGTCCCCCCCAACAGAGGACCCAGACCTGGAGACCACCCCCAGGGCAGGAATCTCAAACACAGACACTATTACAGATATGTGTACAATATGTGCAAGAGTGTTGGCTTACCAGAACCCTCCCCTGCCTCCCTCCCCCTCCCCCGTGCCCAGTCCTCTTTCCTCCCCACTGGCCCACAGCGGCAGCCTCTCATCTCCTTGGTTTATGAGGCCGAGGAGGGGGTGTGCCGTGGGCTGTTAAGGCTGCAGAAACAAAGCAGTAATGGGAAGCATGTGTGGGCTTGTGCGAGTCTGTGTGCGTGTGTGTTCATGGGGCTGGGAAGTGGTCTCCAGGGTGCGGTGAACGCGGTACCTCCCCTACACCACTCACCAGCCGATATCTTCAGGCAAGAGGTCTGGCCATGCGTGGGGGAGTCCAGCGCTGGTTCTGCGCCTCCCAGTTCTGAACAGAGGTGCCCCAGGGGAGAGGGAAGAGCGAGTGGATCTCAGGGAAGCAGCCGGCAAGAATCCCTTTGAACACCTCCCACAGCCGCCCCCACCTCCAGGAAGTGACAGGCTGGGAAGCCAGGTGCGATTGCCTCAATTAGAGCCACGAGGACCACTTTGCCTAGCTTGCAGCCTTTTGATCCCTTCCCACCTCTCCCGGCCAGCCTCCCAGGTCTGGGCCTGCTGCTCCGACCCTGTCCTCACAAGCCCCTGACCTCTTCTTTTGGACCCCGCCCCCATCCTCTTCTTTGCAGAGTAGGGGTGCTGTGTCTCCATCGCTTGTTTAGGGCTCTTCCTGCACCTGCTCCACCTTCCTCCTGCACAACTGAGATGACCCCCTGGGTCTGGGAGCTCCTAGGCTGTGGATGAGGCTGCTGAACTGAGCTGTGGGCCTGTGGACCCTCCCCCACCCTTTCCTGTTTTCCTTTTTGCCTTCTTTTTATCAGTCTTATTACATAGTGCTGACTGGACCGGAACTCACTGTGCAGTCTTAAGGCCCTTGTCACCTTGCCTCGGCCTCCCAAGTGCTGGAGCTACGGGGAAAGACCACAGCCTCATTGCTTACTTATGGGTTATAAGGGTGGTGGAGGCGGTATGTGTGGGGGAATAATACCGGATTTGTTCACCCAAACTGTTAGATTTAGGCTCTTTAATGCTTTCAAGAAGGCTATTCACCCTCTAAGCCAGTGACTTAATGCCACCTTCCTAATGCTTTGACCTTTTAATACAGTTTCTTATGTTGTGGTGACCCCCGACCATAACATTATTTTCATTGGTACTTCGTAACTGTAATTTTGCTACTGTAATAAATCATAATGTAAATATCTGGCATCCAACCCCTGTGAAAGGTTCATCTGACCCCTCCTCACCCCTGCAGGGGTCATGACCCACAGGTAAGAACTGCTGCTCTGAGGTTTGTTCTGGGCCAGGCTCTATGGTATATGCCTGGCCTGAACAATCTCATTGAATTTGGGTGCTGACACTTTGGGTATGTCTAAAAGATGGTTGTTCTTGAAGGGCAGGGATGGCACACGCCTTTAATCCCAGCACTCGGGAGGCAGAGGCAGGAGGATCTCTGTGAGTCGAGGCCAGCCTGGGCTACAAAGTGAGTTCCAGGACAGCCAAGGCTACACAGAGAAACCCTGTCTCGAAAAACAAAAACAAAAAACAAAAACAAAAAAACCCCCCGAACCCCAACAAACAAACAGAAACAAAAAAACAAAAACAAGTTCTTATTTGTGTGTGTGTGGTGGGCACTGGGGGCCTCAGAGGAGCCGACATTCTTAAACGGGAAATGGAGAGACATGGACCTAGTCCAGATCAGGCACTTGTCATTCTGACCCTAAAATAAGTCATAAACCAGGTTGAAGTGGCCACTTCGGTAGCCACTTTTAGTAAGAGCCCACAGGGCTGACCCAGCACCTACCTTTGTGTGGGATGGTCAGTTTGCAGGGCAGGGCCAGGGCCATGATGGAGTGTTGACACACGAAGGCAGAGAGGCTCCCTGCAAAGGGGCAAGAAGCCTTGAGTAAGTAAGTAGGGCTTTCCCAGTCCCCTTTACAGTGCAAGAGACCATGTCCTGGAGGCCTGGAGGCTGGGTGGAGGCTGGGGTAGCTGGGGAGGCTGGGGAAGGTGGAGGCTGGGGAGGGTGGAAGCTGCAGAGTCTGGGGAAGCTGGGGAGGCTAAGAGGGTAGGTGGGCTGTGGAGGCTGGGGAGGGTGGAGGCTGCAGAGTCTGGGGAAGCTAGGGAGGGTAGAGGCTGGGGAGGCTGTGAAGGGTAGGGAGGCTGGGGAGAGAGGGGAGAGAGGCTGGGGAGGCTAGGGAAACTGTGGAGGCTGCAGAGACTAGGGAGGTTGGAGAGGCCTGGAGGCCTGGAGGCTGGGGAGGTGGGGGAGGCTGGGGAGGCTTACCAAAGTAGGGCTCCTCATCTGCTCCTTTCAGATGCACCCCTTTGGCTGAAGACTCCACCAGGAAGTGACGTATAAGGTCAGTGCTGTCCTCACCTGGACAAAGAAGGAAAAAGTTTTGTTTCAGAGCTCCATGTTAGCCAAAGCCTGGCCCGCAGGACCCCGCCCACTTCTTCCAGATCCTTCTGAGGTTCGCAGGAGCCTCTGCCTCCCTGTGAGGCTACACCTAGGAAGCCATGTTCATGGGCTCCAAAGTGGCAGTCAGTGCCTTCGCTCAGCCCATCCCAGGTGCCATTGTTTCCCATCAGCTCCTCCCTGCAGGAACAAGGCAGTTTTGACAAGCAGCAGAGTGCCCTTTGACCTCACCAACCACAGCTTCTTCCTCCATTTGGGCTTGTGGGAGGCTCTTTGAAAAGCTTCCTTGAAAACCAACACCTGCCCTGTTACCCTGGGACCTTGTAGCATGGCCATTCTTTGTTCTCACCTAAACTCCCCAATGAGGTGGTTTCTGCAGGGGAGTGAGTCCCCTACATGTCTAGTTCTTACACAGGGTCTGGCATGCGGTAGACCCCTCAGAGATGTGTGTGCTGAGTTACCAGATAAGCCCATGAGGTCATAGGATAGCAAACACGCTATCACACACATGTGATTAGCAGTTACACATGTGATAAGCTCTCTCACATAGGATGGGCTATTGGTTTTTTTTAACAAGACTGAGTTTCTGGGTAGCCCTGGGTGTCCTAGAACTCGCTCTGTAGACCAGGCTGTACTCGAACTCACAGAGATCCGCCTGCCTCTGCCTCCTGAGAGCTGGGATCAAAGGGCACCGCCCAGCAGGATGAGCTATTGAACACGTGGTGAGTTATTACAAGAACGATAAGATATTGGGAGTGTGATAAGCCCACGCATGCATTAGTCATATTAGGCTCCTGGAGATAAATCCAGGCTAGACAGGAGTGCTCAGAAGACAGCAGCCTGAGGAGAGGCTGGGACCTTTCTCCTCCATCCTTAAAGGGTGGAACAGGGAATCTGAGGAGGCAGGGCATCTCAGGCATTTAGAGATGCTCCTCATGGTGCCTAGGTGTTGGAGGGCAGCTGGGAGAGCCAGGAGGCAGACTCTCTTCCTGGGAGTCATCCTGATTGTCACTGTCAAACTGGGACAGAGTCCACCATGGTGAGGACTCTGAGGTGATCAAGCAAAAGGTACGTACCTGGTCGGTTTGGGGCAGAAGCTGGCATCTCCTGTACCTTCAGGGCAAGGCCGAAGGAGCCCCGGTAGGAGGAACTGTCCCTGATGACGAAAGCACCTGGTTTCTCCTTCCTCAGCAGATCAATTGCTGGAACAGTGTTTGGTTAGAGGCTGACCCACTCTACATGAACCCTCTCTCTGCCCATCCCCACAGAATCCTCCCAGACAAGTCACACAACCTTCTGTCCCCAGGAAGTCCTTGCTCCTGTCTACTTTCTGCAGGTTTTGCTTACTTCCTAATTCCTAATAAGGCCAGCAGGTCACCCACCCTTCCATGGGCTGCTATTTGCCACCTTCCTAACCACCGTGACCCAAGGTCCCATCTCCCTGCTGCATGACACTCGCCAGACATAGTTACAGGGACACTTGTCCCCTAAAATACAATGCTGGCCTTACCTTGCTCTCGGGTAATGCTTGGCTTAAACCAGTATTTGGATGTGTCCATCACGAACTTCATGGTGGGCTGCATGCTCTTGACAGCGCCTGGAGACAGGCAGAGAAGGGCACCCTGTCAACTGGGTAGAGGGTGGCTGAGAGACAACCGGGGAGAATGCTGGAGACCTGTCCTGCTCCTCTTCCCAGGGATCCTTTAGGGTCTCTCTAAGTAGCCTAAAGAGGAAAACCCCACCGGAGCCATGGCTCAGTGGGTAGAGTGCTTGCCTAGCGCACATGAAGCCTTGGGTTCGATCCCTAACACCCCATAAAGCCAGGTGGTGGTTCATGGCTGTCATCCCAGAAGTTGGGAAGCCGAGGCAGGAGGATTGCATTGGGGTCAAAGCCAGCTTGGCTACAGAATTAAACCCTATCATGAAGGCTGGAAATAGAGTTGGCAGGATGGCTCAGCGGGTCATACCTCTTGGCATGAGGGCCTGACAACCTGAGTTTGATCCCCTGGACTCACATAAAGGTGGAAGGAGTCGACCCACTTAAAAAAGTACTTTGAGCTTCACATGTGCTTTGTGGCACATGCCCCTCCCCCCAGTAGTAGATGAGTTTGCTGTTTGAAAGGCCTGGCTGAGGCGCCATTTTCTCCTGTTAGCTGAGGGAGGAGAGTCTGGGACTAAGTCCTTGGGTCTCTGCTCATGGGAGGTGTGTACCCCAAGGGTGCTCCAGCTGAACTTGTATTTACTGCTTTGGGTTCTTTGGATGTCTATAGTCACAGGCTCCGGGAAGAAGGGTGTTTGCTATTTTGTGGTTTTCAGCCATCTGTGTTGGAATGCCTTGGTTCCATTCCCTGCTTGCCCCTCTATGGTCTTGTCATCCGTGAACGTCAGAGCGAGGACTGATATACTCTCTGGCTCTCCTTGGGTTAGCCAGTTAGTCACCACAAATCTTGTTTAGATTGCCTGAGGGTTGCCTGGTTCTGTTTCCTCCCTTACCCCAGCTGCCCAGCCCTGGTTTCAGTCTCATAACCCTCCTGCCAGGCAGCTTCCATGCTGAACCATTGCATTTGCTCTGCTGACCCCACAACCTCTTCCCTGCTTCCGTTTCTTATTGTCTAAAGAGTAAAATGGCCCTTGTTGTCAAAAGAGTACAACCCACTTTTTAGTTTGGCCTCTGCCACTGTGCCACAATCTGCCACTATTCCCAGTGACCTGCACCTAACATCCCACAAGTTTCCTCGCTGTGCTGTGCGGGCACATTGCCCTAGCTATGAGGTCACAGTTATCCCTGCAAGGAATGCCTTTTATCCCTTCCCCTGGGTGCTGGCTAGCTTCAGTGTCACCTCCTCCAGGCTCCAAGCTGCCTAATCCACTCCTTCATCTGTCACCTATGAAGCGTCTATACCTTTGCAAGGATCCTACTCTACGGGAGGTCTTGGGTTGGGTCACTCTTTCTAGACTGTGCCCATCTGTGTATCCTCACATCCTGGCACAATGCTTGGTGCACCAACATTGCTGTAGTCATTAAAAGTGGGTAGTCGATAAAAGTGTTAACTGCCTGTTGCCAAGTCCCCTTAGTCTTTGACTAGTCCTCTTAACTAAATCCTCCAATGCTAAAGGTGTTAGATTACAGTACCGTCTGGAGATGCAGCGACAGGACCATCTGGCAGAGTCTGGCTGTGGCTCTCGAGAGCCCGACAAGGGTGGCTGGGAGATGCAGCCCGAGGCTGGACAGAGCCCTGGTGTCCTGGTGTCTGCCGGGCTGGGGGAGACTGTGGTTCTGGGCACCCATTGATTAGCACAATGGGTGCGTCCACCATGGAGTTGGTGATAGAAGGGGGGCAACTGCTGGCCTGCTCCTTGGCTACCGGAGGACAGGAGGCTGCTTGGGGCTGGCCCATGTTCGGTATTGGGTTGCTGGGAGCCTGGGCGTCACCAGGTCTCACACACGGGGACCCTCGGTCCAGGCTGTGGAGGCTGGAAGAGGAGCTGGCTGGACTCGCCAAGGATCGCGAAGACGACTGATAACTGGAGAGGCTTGAGTGTGGGAGGGACTGGCTGCTGCAGAGAAGAAAGCAGATGGAGTATTAGGGTGTCGGGTGGTGACTGGGGGCCAGCGCTGTGTTCTGGAATCTAGCCATCTGGGGGACCCTATCTGGGGTCAAACAGAGCACTGCATATACTCTCACCCCAAACCCAGAGCAAAGAGTACCCCATCTGAATTTCAAGGGTGCAGCAGGGTTTAGAACCTTCCTAGAACCGGGGGACCTTTTGTCATTTAAGCTGACCGGTGGGTTTAACCTCCAGCAGTTACGTTGGCCTGGGTTTCCCCTGCTTTCCCAGTCAGGCTGATCTGACAGAACCATCACAGACGGGAGGATCTCCATGCCCCAGCGCTCTCAAAAGGCCTGCAGAGAGGCCGCTGTACCTGGGCCGGACATGCCTGTGGCTGGAGGAGACTAACACCGCTCTAGCTGGAGGAGACTAACACCGCTAGGCCAGCAAGCATGGTGGTGGATCTCTGGTTCCTATGCCTGGGGCCACCATGGCCAATGCCTTTGGAGTTGGTGTGTGGGACTGAGGTCTTGTGGTTTGGTGATCCTGGAGCAGGATGGGCTGTTGTGCAATTCGACTGGGAGGCCTAAGATCAGTGACCTAGGATCCCTGCCCAGGGGGTTGAAGCCTCCTACCTGGTTTTGTCAGTGGCACAGGGGGTGGGGGGGGAGGGGCTTTCATTCCTGGATGTTTCATCTCAGGCCCCCAAGTCTGTTTATACTCCTGAGATTTATTTATTAATTTTTCAATAATTACTTATTTTATGTGTGCGAGGGTCTCGCCTGTGTGTGCACCTGTGTGCTGTGTGTGGACAAGTGATTGTGGGGGGTCAGAGGAGGGCACTGGATCTCCCAGGACCGGAGTAACAGATGATTGTGAGCTGTGGTGTGGGGGCTGGGAACTGAACCTGGGTCCTAAGCCTGAGCAGGCAGTGCTCTTAACCATTGAGCTCCCTCTCCAGGTCCCACCCCCGAATTTTAATGACCCTTCCTCCAGATGGGTCATGTGGGGGCTGGGAAGAAGACAGATCTCATCAATGTAGTACTCTATTCTCAAAAAGGTCAGTGGAAGCCATGCGTTCAGGACACTGAATTATGATTTAAATGCTTTGAGGGAAATTTGAGATAGAAATGGCTATGATGGGTAGAAAAGACATGTATTCTTTTTTTTTTTTTCTTTTCCTAGACAGGGTTTCTCTGTGTAGCCCTGGCTGTCCTGGAACTAGCTCTGTAAATCAGGCTGGCCTTGAACTCACAGAGATCCACGTACCCCTGCCTTCTGAGTGTTGGGATTAAAGGAGTGTACCACCACTGCCCAGACAACGTGTGTTCTTCTATTCTTGATGCCTGTACATTTTGCTCACAGAACAGAGTGCCCTTCTGTCGTGTGTGTGTCTGTGGCCACGTGTGTCACCATGCACGCAGCGCCAGGAACTTACCTTCCAAATCCATAGCTGACATCTGACGTGGGGCTGGCTGACAGCACAGAGACCCTGCTGCCCCGCTGTGGGGCCCGCGGCCCTTTCTCCCAACCTGGAGGAGTGGCCAGCGGGGAGCCTGAGGGCCTGCTCTCCTGGCCAGAGCTGGAACTGCTAAGGGAAGATGGGGTGTGGGGAGAGGGACCCCTGCCCTGGTTCCCAGAGAAGATGAGGCTCTCGCTGCTGCTTCGAGTCTCTCGGGGAATGTCTCTGGAGAAAAGGAGGCTGCCGTTGCGTGGGGAACCAAAGGGTGGAGTCACACAGGGACTGGAGCAGCGTTGGGGACCGTCGAAGCATCTTGATCTGGTGGAGGTCACTTCGATGTACTTTATATCTTTGTTAGGGGTGGAGGGGGGGAGAAAGAAAGCATTGGTGAGAGCCAGAGAGTCGGAGAGAATCGATGGATGGAGCACTGTCTGGCAAAGGTGGTGGAAACTGGGGGTGCACAAGCTGTCCCCCCACTAGAGGGTCATGAGTTTTATCCATGGTTTCCCAGGATGGAAATTAGGGTAGGGCCCTGGAGAGCACTCAGTTTACTAAAAACAGCTCATCCCTCCCCTGTTCAGAACTGTGGAGTCCAGCCTGCCCTGGGTACTCATGGCTCCTTCCCATGAGCCCGTGGTGCCTGAACCCGGGGTCCTGGGTGGAAGTGGGCAGTCTATCAGATGCACAGGGCTGGTAGGCTGACTCGGGCTTGCTGGTTCAGGGGATGCAGAGACAGCCTGGCTTTGCAGCCACACAAACTTGGGCGGGAATCTTGACATTACCTCTTGCTAGCCAGGAGGCACTGAGTAACTTTCCAGACCTCTCTTGGCCTCAGTTTCCTTATCTGCAAAGCGGAGATCTAGACCCAGCCCTCTAAGGTGGTGCCGAGGAGCAAACACAGATGAATGAAGCCTGATTCACGGCAGAGCTCCTCACAGAAAGAGCATTCCCTACCAGCTGCTCTTGGGAACCCCTCAGTGGGAGCCCCTCACTAGCTGAAAAGGGGATCTTTGGCTTAAGAGAATGGAGCGACAGAGGAGACTCAGGGAACTGCACTGTAGGCTCTCAGAAGCCTGTGAGAGCGACATAGATTTTTCCAGGAGGCTGGCAAGTTCCTTTCCTTCACTTAAAAAAAACTGTCATGGGGAACTGCACTGTAGGCTCTCAGAAGCCTGTGAGAGCGACATAGATTTTTCCAGGAGGCTGGCAAGTTCCTTTCCTTCACTTAAAAAAAACTGTCATGGGGAACTGCACTGTAGGCTCTCAGAAGCCTGTGAGAGCGACATAGATTTTTCCAGGAGGCTGGCAAGTTCCTTTCCTTCACTTAAAAAAAACTGTCAGGTGGTGGTAATGATGCACCCTTTTAATCCCAGCACTTGGGAGGAAGAGGCAGATGGATCCCTCTGAGTTCAAGGCCAGCCTGGTCTACGAACAGAGTTCCAGGATATCCAAGGCTGTTACACAGAGAAACCCTGTCTTGAAAACCAAACCAAACCAAAACCTTTTGAGATACAATCTAGCCCCAAACTCCTTATGTAGCCCAGGATAGCCTTGAACACAGGTAGAAACCACCGCATCTAGTTTTTATGTGTCACCTGGAGTACTGGGGATAGATCCCAGGGCTTCATGAATGCTCACAAGGCCTTTTACTGAGCTGTACCCCTAGCCCCAGCTTCTATTTTTGTATTTACTTATTTATTTATTAATTGATTGATTTTTTTTGAGACAGGGCTTCTCTGTGTAACAGTCCTGGCTGTCCTAGAACTCACTATGTGCACCACCACCACCTGGTTAGCTTCTATCTTTATAAAGACTTTATACCGTTTATGCCCATAACCACCGCTAACCCTCAGCATGGCCCTTGGGTAGGCCAGACATTGGTTTTACAGAGGAGGTAACTGGGGTTGGAGATTAAGTGGAAGTAGGAGTTGAGGTTTCTTGCATCACTTTTGCCAAAGACAGGCAATTGCGAGCATGCAACATAGCATATCCTGTCCTGTTCCGGCAGCTCTATTAAAATGCTATTGATCCCTGTGTAACCAATAAGAACTCAAGGTTCAGCTAGGCTGAGTTGTCCAATGCCACAGAACTAAAGGAGTGGAAAGCCCCAATTTCTTCCCCTGAGCTGTCTTTGTGGCCTCTTCTAGGACAAGAGGAACTCTTTGGGATCCCATTCTAAGGCCTTCCTGGTGTTTGTCTGCTCTGGTGTGTGTCTCCTGACCTGGTGAGGGTCCTAGCCCACAACTTCATGGGTCATAAAAATATCCAAGACCTTGCCTAGGAGCTGAGCAGGGTGGGAGGGGCCCGTGCTGTGAGTCACCCCCCCACTCCTTGTCCTGAGGTGGATATGGTTGGGGAGGTGGAAGCTCCCACCCCATCCCTGGGGTGCAGCCGCTGTTTACAGGCCTGTGGGGCAAGTCCCGGCAGTGTAGGGTGGATGCAGGCGCCAGCCACAGGCCTGGCCGGTGAAGGGAGGGCATGTGGGTGGGGGGAGGAGAGACAGTTATTAAACAGCCTGCCCTTGGGACTGGCAAACAGCCTTGCCTGGCAGAAACTGCTGGAAAATGAAATGTGGGGACCTGATCCAAGGATGGGGTGGGAGGTCGTAGAGAGGATAAGGGAGATGGTGTTTGGGTCTAGGAGCCAGGATCCCTCTGGGGTGGTGACTCTGAAGGACGAGTATAAAGAGAGGTGAACAGGAGGCAAGGAAGGGGGTACTGACAGAGTTTCAGAGAAGTGCGGCGGGGCGGGGGGGTGCGTTTCAGAGAAGACTGTCGGCTTCCTCTAAGCAAACTCCAGTTTAAGGAGACAGACAGAAACAAGGGCTTTAAGGATTCGCAACAGCCTGATCTGCCACTTGGTAGGACCATGGCTTCCTTTCTCAACCTCAGCTAACACATCGATAAAACAAGACCCCTGTGATTTCCTTCAGGGCAGCTGCAGGGACTCTGCATCCTAGGAGCTAATGTCCACGAACAATCTATTCACAGCTGTGTCTAGGGAGTCACGAGAGGGTGGCTTCAGCTTTACCAGGCGGGGTGGCAAGCCTCTGCTGCTTCCTGATGACAGGGTGCCTCGGAGGATGGATGAGATGGCACCAGGGTGTGTGGGGGAGTTGGGGGGGTAGAATCCACTCTGAGGATGTGAAGATGTAAGGGATCTCACCCAGAATTCTCAGCAGTGTCCTGGACTGTGAAATCCTTCTCGCCAGCAACAGTGGCCCACTGGAGGATTTAGGGAGGCTGAGATGGGCGGTGTGGCGTCTGCCACTCTTGGTAAGGGAAGACCAGCCCCTTGAGGGGGTGCTGACCTCGCCCTGACGTTTTAGGAGGAAGGAGTTCTGAGGTATGTGTGAGAAGCATGTGAGTAGGGTTGGAGATGAGGGTGCCTGTGGTCCAGAACTCTAGAGACTGGGGTAGGAGGCTGCCTGGTTGCTGGTTAGCCTGGACTAAAGAGCAAGACTCTTTTTTTTTTTAAAGGAGGAGGAGGCGGCGGTGGCGTGGCAGAGGGCAGTAAGGACCTTCTGGCCACTGCCAATCTTTCTGTACTCTTTGTTCCCCAGAGTTGGATGCACCCTTGCTTCGGGTGGCAGGCTGTCCTCGGACAATCTGAGGATAGGGACCACTGCCTTGACAGTCATCTGCTCTTCACCAAGCCTTCAGTGGAGGAAGGGATGGTTGTTGTCTACCCTGCACTCCACCCTATACGTGTGGACTCCTAATACTGATCTTGCCCCAACTGGTCTTGGCCGGGTGGAATCCCTGCCCTGGGGCATGAACATTAAAACCCTGGGCTGGCTCCTGCCAACGGTAATTAGGTCTAAAGCACTTCCCCGCAGTGCTGTGCCCATGACTGGCCTTCAGCAGCAGAAGGCTGCTGCAGGGGAAGACAGCTCCTGTAATAGGCTTGGCAGGAAGAGGGGAAGCAGTGGGGGCCAGGATCCCCTGATGGGTGCCAGAGGGCTTGAGTGCTGTGCCGACTTCTATCTCAGAATCTAAACTGCCCTGGGGCTGGCTGTACAGGCAATCCCCCACTCTACCATGGCTCACCAAGACTTGTGACAAACAGGCAACAAATCCTTTCTCTTAATCACTGGACTTTTGGAGGTAGGAACTCTTTATTTTGTCCATTTTATAGATGAGGAATCAAAGACATAGAGGTGACGTCAATAGCTTGCATCAGGTCAGCCTGAACCCAGGGGTCAGGCTAAACAGGCTCCTTATTCAAGCTCATGTTAACTTAGTTTTTCATCTGTACAATGGAGTCAAATTCTCCTCTCAGTGGGGTAGGATAGAAGAATTCCACACAAGTCAATCACGGCGGTACACACCTGTAATCCTAGCGCTTGGGAAGAGGAGGCAGGAGGATATGAGAAATTTAAGGTTATCCTGGGCTATCTGGCACAATTGAGGCCAGCCTGGGCTACATGAGATCCTGTAGAAGGCACTCAGCAGAGAGACAGGGCCTAGCATGCAGCAAATGCTCAGGAAGTGGATGCTAGCCTGGCTTCTGTGTGCACCCCCATTCTTGCTATCTGACCTCCGGGGACCTGACCTTTCCATCTGCTTGATGGATGCCTCTGCTGCTCCCTCACTCCCAGAATACCCTCAAGATGTTTCAAGTGTGGGGAACCGAATCAGCACCCAGGGCTTCCCAGATTCCCCTGGCTGTATGTGCTGGTGTCAGCTTGTACCAGCTTGTTACGAGCTGGAGACTGCAGGCTTCTGATGTTGTCTAGCTGGTTGCCGAATTCGGTCATTATTAACAGCTGCATTCTGCAAACTGATAGTGAAATAGCTTACACTCAAAACGAAAGCTGACCAGTTGCGGTGTTCAGGAGGGGAGGTGGAGTGGTAAGAATAGGCTGGGCTACACAGACTCTTGTCTCCAGAAGACTTAAAAGAATAAAAAAATGAAAATATATGTGTGTAATACGGAAGGTCAGACACACCCAAAACCCACACATCTTACTATAATGCAGGCTCTGAGATTTTATGGTTATTGTATTGGTACAGTGAGATTTTATTTCTTTTGTGCTGAGGGCAGTTTAGGTTATCACTGAGTTACATTCCCAGCTTTAAAAAAAAAAACCCTCCTACTTTAAAACCTCCCTCCCTGCCAATATGGAGACAGGGCCTTGCTATGTAGTGCAGGCTAGCGTAGAACTCACGACCTCCCTCCCCTGTGCTGAGTGAGCGTCCAGATGTGTGCCACTATGGCCCCTGATGTGTAGTGCTGTTCTACAGAGCAGGACTACTTCCCTTTCAGTCGTACGCTCGGTGACGTCCTGTCAGTAGCTCAGAATTGGGAGAATTTACACCGTGGAAATGGGCAGAAGCTTCAGACTGGGATTTGTGTTTCCCAAACAGGGAATCAGCATCCTACTTCTTGTGTTCTGCCTCTCTCTCGTCCCATCCATCTTGGGCCTTTCTCAAGAGATGTTCCCCTAAGCAGGGACCGGGGACCATCTAGAAATCCTACAATAATTTTAGGGGACCAAACTTAGGCTCTAAAGAGAAACATCAAGAGCTTAAGTAAGGTCCAGGGACTCTGCACTTAGGAAGCTCTTACTATGTGCACCTCATTGTGGAAGCTGCTTACCTGGACTAGCACATCTGAGTTCTCATAAAAACCACCTGAAACTGGAGTCAACCAGTTTCCAAACTCAGGGACCAGGCAGAGTTGGTTGGTGAGGGAAATCTGTACTTACACCTTTTGTGCAGCAGAGAAATCAGAAAGGTCAGAAGTTTGGGTAGGGCTCATTGTATTCCCCACAGGACAAGAACCCCTGCCCCTCAAATTTTGAAGAAGAGCCCCTATTCGTTCGAGTTCTGTCTCCCAGTTCCCTTCTTGCTTGTGCTCCCAAATCCTTACCTAAGGCTTCTGGTTCCTCCTTCTTGCTCCTTGAAGTGATGCTGCTGGCCTGCTCAGCCTGGGGACCAGCAGTCCCAGAGGGAAGCAACTGGAAGGTGGGGTCTAGTTCCAGGATCATCTGGTTGAGGGTCTCCAGTGAGAAGTCAATGCAGGAGTCGAGGTCCTGTGAGGTCCCTGAGGCCTGCTCCTTAGGGTGCTGCAGGGGGCAGTGAGCTTTGGCTTCTGCTTGCTGAGCAGGCTGGAACCTGCTGGGGGTGCCTTTGCAGAGTGTGGGGGCCATCAGAGGCTGGGTTCCCCAGCTCTCTGTGGTGTAGTAAGGACACAGTGCTGGGAGGCTGGGGTTGGAGCTTGGGTGCAGGGCCATCCTGGATTCTTCGTGGGGAGTCAAGCTGACCACATGACCTCCAGCCAGCAGGGAGCTGGACATGATGCGTCCGTGAGTCCAGCGGTTTACCTCTGGCTTCTTCTGATCAGCCTCACTTCTACCCCAGAGTTATATCCTGCTCCCAAGAGCTCCAAGGACCTGAAAGAGGAGGGTAGGATCTGTAGGTGAAGCCTTTGCCTGGGTCCTCAGTGAAGAACAAAGCATCTCATTCAGTTAAAGGCCCAGTTGGTTTCTTGGCTCTGACACTCACTGTGTAAGTTTGGACAAAGGAAGTAACTTTTTCCCCATCTTAGTTCCTTCATTTGACAAATGAGCTAGAATTAATCATATGCTTAGGACAATGTCTGGTAGATCTAAGCCTATGCAAGTGACGGTTAAGTGACTGAAAGGGATGATTGCCAATCACTTACTTACCATGTCGTGCGTGTATTTCTAAACGGATGTGAGCTGATGTGTATGAGGAACCACTAAGTTCAGAGGCTCCGAGAGTTGCACAAGAAACCCCTTCAAGTTGCTGTAACAACCTGATGAGGTAGGTACCACTATTGTCCCATTTTGCAATGAAAAGAGCAGAGATACAGGGGGAGGGGACACGAAGGAGATTCCGTGGCCCCGCTGAGAAGGCCAGGGAGGATTTCTGTGGAGAAGGAAGGAGACATACGAAGCAGAAAAGAGGAAGCTAGCTGAGCATGGCGGGTAAGAATGAGGAGGCAAGGTAGTGTTCAAAGCGGCGTGTGGCATGTGCAAAGGCCCCTTTGGCGTGTGCAAAGGCCCAGAGGCCAGATGGGAAGTCAAAGGTATCCAGGAAACAGAGGCACTTGGGCTGGACAGGCAGGGTGGGGCAGGTGGGCTAGCTGGACTCTGCTGAAACTTAAGAGGTAAGAGAGAGACACTGGGGAGCGATAGGATCAGATGACAGTCACTCCCCCCGGGGCTCATGCACAAAAAGAAATGCCCTAACTTGCTATCTCCTTCCTGTGAAAAGTTCTTCCTGTTGTCTAACCTTGATGCTATATACTTGTTTCTCACAGATGGTGTGTAGGGGAGGAGGTAAAAGGTCCTAGGACAGACCAGTGAGGAAACTGGGTGGGACAAGAACGTGCTGACCTTAGTCCTTCTGGCAGCCTGAGCCTTGCTGCCTCCCTCCCCGTGTCAGAGCGTGAAGCCACAAGGCGATGCATGGGAAACCACTGGACAGTTTCGGAGATGAGTTAGAAATTGGGGCTTACGGAGTATGACACCCTCGTAAGGGGTTCCCGGTTACAGAGCACCACCCTCAGAAGCCAGGTACTGGCCAACATGCCGTGTACAGCTGCACCTGGCATTCCAGCCAGAGCCTCTGCCCTCTGTCCATTCTGCCTCTGAAGATACCCAGACTCACAAAAGTCCATAAAGTTTTAGGGATCGGGTGTGGTGTACACACCTAGGATCCAAGCAAGAGAGAGGTAGAGGCAGGAGGATGAAGAGCTACACAGAGAGTTCACAGCCAGCTGGAGACACATGAGACCCTGTCTCAACCCCCCCCCACCCACCCATCCACCCACCCACCCAATCAACCAACCGAATAAACAACAAAATCCTGAAAGGAACCAATAGAGGGTTCAGATCTGGGATTCAAATCTAGGCTTTGGACCTTGGTAATCTTAACTCCTTCAGCCACTTGGAGTTCAAAGGCAGAGGGGACACAGAGGGGGCCCTGATATGCCGAATGACAAAAAGCCTGGCCTCTCTGCACCCCGCCTGGCCCCCCGCTCCTCACCCCAGGCTCCTATGGCTTTGTTATCTGACTTCTTGGCTGGGTCCAGGGGTGGGGATGCCATGTGGGGAAGCATATCTATAAATGGCAGTGGAAGGGAGCTGGCCTGAGCTCCTTCCTTGGGGGCAGCTGAGGACAAAGAGCCCAAGCAAGACACAGCTTTTCCTACATAGTCTCCAAGAGTCCAGGGAGCAGGCGCAGCTTTCAGGGTTCACTGCCAGGCTTACAGAGGAAGCTGGGGACACTGAGCAGAGTGCACTGGAACCTGAGTATCCCCCACGACCAGGACTCAAGATTACCCACATGCTCATCCCGAGGCTGTCCCTGTGCCTCTCCAGACAGATCTCAGTGGTTTTCCCATCTGATGGTGACCTGATAATAAGACCCTTGACACTCCTTCTATTTCTCAACAGTTGTGAGTGGGGAGCACTGGCAAGGCTGAGGGACTTGCCCAGGCTACAAGTGTGTGTCTGGGAGTTCATGGTGGGGAGTCTTGCCTCTAACAGTCCTCCACGATCACCCTGCGCTCTTCCCACAGGCGTAAGATCTCCCCTACCACGGCCCCTTTTTGGGATTCTGGAACCAACTGGTACTGAGAATCCAAGGAGACACCGAGGGCAGGAAGCCCTTCTTCAGGTTCTCATTTATCCTTCCCAAGTCACCCCTGGTCCCAGACACAGGCTCCTCTGCTCCTCTGGGATGTTGCTACACAGCCCGGGTCCTCCCCGTGCACCTCTCTAGCTGGTTCCTTTCAGCTCTAAGTCTTAGGAAGGAGTGCCTGGGACACACACACACACACACACACACACACACAGAGGCCTGTGTCTTAGAAAGGATTCCAGTTAGCTCTGCCCTATTTACAGCTCCCTCCTACCTTCTCTTCAGATTCTAACTCTGTTTCTTTCTCTTCTCCTCCCCAAAACTCCGGGGCAAGGACCTCCTGGGGCACTGGGAAAGTCCTATGATCTTCCTTTGCTGAGCTTTTTTTCCCCCTCATCATGGCCCTCATATAAGCCCAGGTAGGGAAAGCAGAGGATGAAATCCCAGTCTCCCCAAAGCACAACCCCAGGACCCCTATCATTTGAGCCTACCTCCTCATTGTCCTTTGCCTCCCCAAGATCCAGGAAGCCTCACCTGGGGCAGCAGGCAGGGCCTGCGGGACAGCGGGCAGTCTCCTAGACCCGCCAGTCTCAGAGCTCTGCCTGGGAGTCAGGACGCCTGGGTCTGTCCAGGCTCTAATCAGGTGTCCAAGACCCCAGGCCAAGACCGAGACCCCTGCACTCCGGCTGCGGCCTTAGATCTCTTTAGGCTCTGGACTGAGCTCCTTCACCCTCACCCCAGTGAGTAAAGGCACCTACCTGTTCACGGCCCCCACTGCTCTCACTTATGGCTCCCAGGATCAAACTGTGCTGAACTCAGGTAGGTCAGGACAGCCGGCGCCAGCAAACCTCAGGACCCGCCTTTAAGAACAGCCCGCCCTCCTTCCGTCTGTCTCCCTCCTCCCCTGAGGCCCTACACGTGGCCTTGACAGCGGCCGGCCCCGCCCCAGAGGTGTTCTAACAGTCCAGGTGGGGCAGCTGCAGGCTGGGAGGGGTCTGTGTGTGTTGCGGAGGTGGGTAGGGGTGCGGGGGGGGGGGAGGGAGTTGAATGGCGGGCTGGCCTGGCAGGCGCCGATTAGGGTGTGTGTAGGGGGCCCTAAGCTCCCAGCTTGGCCCTTCCCGTGTACCACGTGGTCAGGAGGATGCCCAGACCAAGGTGTGCTGCGGGCTTCCCCTTTCACCTTGCGGTGGCAGGAGGAAACAACGGGTTGACAGAGACAGTGAGAAGGGGAGTTTCTACTGGAGACCCGTCCCCAGACCTATCCCGTGGATCTGGATGCCCTTGTTGGGCCCACGTGTTGTCTTTTCTAACCTTGTGTCCTGTTACAAGGCCACCTCTAGCCTGGGAATGAGGCTTCTGCCGCCTGCAAGGAAGCTGGAAGGCCCTGGAGGGCTCTATCAAGAGGGCTCGCTGCCCTGCTCGGTGATTCTCCCAAGAAGCTCTGCTAGGTGGAGGGCAGAAGTCACCCCTTCCTTCTCCAGGACAAAAACTCCCTCCCTGCCAAGGGGTCCTCAGGACGTTGTGAGCGAGTGTCCAGCCAGGATGAGTGGTAGGGCCCCATCCGGGCAGGTTTTCAGCCTGAAGACACCAGCAGGCTGATCTGGAGAGTGGGCTGCCCAGCGTCTCTATTAGGGTTCTGCAGCCTGCTTTCTGGACGGCTTTCTGATGCCCTGTGGTTTTGCAGAACCATGTTGAGCCAGTGTTGCCCGTCACAAAAAGGTCCAAAGTGGTCCAAGGCTTCTCTTCTTGAGAGCAGCATGGAAAGGGTTCCTCAAGGGTCCCCGTGGTCCTGCAGATGCCGGCCTTGGTGAATACAGGTGTAGCTTTGTATGAAGAATCTGGCTAGCGGCAAGCCAAGGCAGCCTTTGACTGTAGGCTTTGGCTAAGTTGACAGGTGGGAGGACCGACTGCTGAGCCTTTTGGGTGGAAGGGTTGGGCTACACGGAGGAGAAATGGCCCCGGGACTGTAGCTCAGTTGAGACATTGCTTGCCTAGCATGTAGGAAGCCCTCGGTTTGATTTTTTTTTTCCTCTCTGCAATTTCTCTCTGCTTCACATGCAGCCGCTTCCTTCAGCTTAGCTGGCTCAGAACCCTGATTTCAGTTTCAGTGGCCCCACAGACCTTGCCCAGTCCGTCCCTCTGCCCACCCCCGGCGTTGGACACAAGTAGCATTCTGAAGGGGATGACATGTCTTTGTATATGTGTCGGTAGGGCTGTCTTCCTCACGCTGCTGCCCTGGTGGGTTACGCTCTTCCATCAGCACACCTGGGGTGAATCTCTTGCTACGCGGCTTAATTCTCTTTGGATTTGATGATATTTTGGTGAAGGATTTGGCACTCATGAGGGCTATTGTTCTGCCACTGTTTTCTGCTTGTGATGTCTTTGGTTTTGGCATTAGGGTACCGCCTGATTAATAAATGGAGTCAAGAAGGACCCCTCTTGTGCTGTCCTCTGAAAGTGATGTGGAGAACTGGCGTGGTTTCCACTCTTCCTCCTCATTCTTTAACTGAATCTCACTACACAGACTAGGTTGACTTAAAAACTCACAACCTCCTGCCTCAGCTTCCAGAGAGCTGGGATTATAGGCACGAATCGACATAGCCTGCTTCGTAGCATCTCTTTCTTCAGCCTCAACTACATTATTTCTCTGGCTTCGGCTCTGCATTAACCTTTCTAAGAGAAGGGATCCCCTCAGCAGAATGTTTAAAGATACATTTAAAAAACAAAACAAAAACTTTCCTTTTTTTTTCATGCTTCCTTCACTTTCCTCAAGAAAGAAGAGGGAAAACTAATTAAGTAAACAAGCAAAAGTTGCTATTTCTGATAGTTTTTTCTTCCTTGTAGGAGCTCCACTTCGTGTGCATTTATATATTTGTCTCTGCCTGGGTGTGTCCGAGTGAGTGACTGTCAACTTGACACAGCCTAGAATCACGTGAAGAAAACAAGTCTCAACTGAGTAATAATTGACTTTATCAGGTTGGTTCATGAACAAGTCTATGAGATATTGTCTTAATTGATGTAGGAAGGCCCAGTCCACTGTGGGTGGTGCCCCTTCTTGGGCAGGTGGTCCTGAGCTACTGGAGAAGAAAATGAGCTAAGCGTATCCTGTGAGGAAGCCAGAGAGCCAGCCAGCAAGCACATTCCTTCGTGTTTTCTACTTAGGTTCCTGCCCTGCCTTCTCTTCTGACAGATGTGTAAGAAGAAACAAACCCTTTCCTCCCCTGAGTGGCTTTCGGTCAGAGTGCTTTTATTACAGTAACAGAAAGCAAACGTGTGTGTGTGTGTGTGTATGTGCGCATGCGCACATGTGTGTGAGAGAGTGTGTGTGCGTGTGTGAGAATGTGTGTGGTGTGTGCGTGTATGTGTGCACGCGCGTGTGTGAGAGAGTTGTGCATGTATGTGAGTGTGTGTGTGAGAGAGTGCGCGTGCTTGTCTGTGTGCATGTGTGTGTGTGATGTGTGTGCGTGCGTGTGTGGTGTGTGCGTGTGTGTATGTGTGTGCATGCATGTGTGTGAGAGAGTTGTGCATGTATGTGTATGTGATGTGTGCGCGTTGTGAGAGTGTGTGTGCATGTATGAGTATGTGTGTGTGTGTGTGTGTGTGTGTGAGTGTGTGTGTGGGTGAGAGATCAACTTCAGGTGTCTATCGTGAGGAGCCATCTACCCGTGTTTGTTTTTACTTTTGAGACAGGGTCTCTGAATGGAACCAATTAGTGCAGGCTAGCTGGCCAGCAAGCCTCAAGAATCCCTGTGTCATTGCCCCGCAGCACTGGGATTACAAGGTCATGCCTTTGCACCCTGGTTTTTTTTTTTTTTTTTTTTTTTTTTAGGTTTTAGAGACAGGGTTTCTCTGTGGCTTTGGAGCCTGTCCTGGCACTAGCTCTGTAGACTAGGCTGGTCTCGAACTCACAGAGATCCGCCTGCCTCTGCCTCCCGAGTGCTGAGATTAAAGGCGTGCGCCACCATCGCCTGGCTGCACCCTGTTTTTTATGTGGGTGTCAGAAGCTGAACTCAGGTCTTTGAGTTTTCTTGGCAGGCATTTCACTGACCGAGTAACCGCCCTGGTCTCAGAGAACTCCACCGTTCATTCAAACACACTTATTGAGCACTCTTGCATTTCGGCACAGGATACAGAAATGAAGGGACAAGACTGCCGACTCTGAGGAGCTCAGTGTCTACGAGGAGGAAAGGTTTCAGTCTCAGCCTGGTGCTGGTCTCCTAAAGACCGGAGCTCCACTATCCTACCTCAGTCAGGTACCGTTTTTTGGGTTAATCCACACTGAAAGAGCTTTGGGATAAAATAAAAAGGCAATTTAGATGTTACTAGCTTAGCATGAAGGATGTAAGCTGTAGTAGTCATAATTAAAAATTTATCTATTTGCTGTGTAAGGTGGAACAGGGGACTTTGTGCCACCATATGCGTGTGGGGGTCAGAAGACAATTTGTGGGAATCAGTTCTTTCCTCCACCACACGAGTACCGAAGACCAACCTCAGGCTTAGGGCTTGGCAACAAGGGCCTTTCCCCTCTGCGGAGCCCTCTCATTAGCCCTCTTACTCATAATGTTTTATCTCAGTGCTGTGTTGAAACGATGATGCTTCGTGGCTCTCGGGTTAAATAAAGTAGATGATTAAAATTAATTTCATCTGTATCAAATGACCACAAACCCAGTGACTTTAAACAACCAGAATACGTTGTCTCGCAGTCATGAGCCCCAAATCTGGCTAGGATGCGTTGCTTTTGGAGGATAGAGGGGAGGACCCACTTCCTGCCTCTTGCAGCTTTTGGGAGCTGCCCGGAGTCCTTGAATTTGTGGCTGCATCCCTCCCGTCTCCTCCTGTGCCGGTCTCAATCCCCTCTGTCCATCTGGTACGAGGCCACTTGAGAAGGCAGCTATGGGATCATAGATAATCAGGGTGACCCTCCTCACCCTGACATCCTTAATTGCATCTGCAAAGGTCCGTACCCGTCTCCCACAATTTAATTACCGTTTAAAGGTGCTAGAGGGTAGGGCCTGATATATTTGATATCTTTGGATGCTTGTTATCCAACCTCCTCTATGTGTGCCTTGCATTATATTTCTACAGAGCAATTACGCCCATAGTAACCCAAAAAGCCCAGGGAAAGTGTCATAGATTCAAAAAGGGCCGAGGGTTTGTTTTGTTTCTTTTTGTTGCCATTGTTTTTCAGGACTGGGTTTCTCCACGTAGCCCCGGCTGTCCCGAAACTCACTCTGTAGACCAGGCTGGCCTTGGACTCACAAAGATCCACCAGCCTCTGCCTCCCAAGTGCTGGGATTTAAGGCATGCACCATCACTGCCTGGTCTCAAATAGGGCAGATGGAATTGGAAGGGTATTCCCAAGAATCCCTTGGAATCATGGCGGTAGCAGGAACACAGGTGAGCTTGGCAAACTTGCTGAGGGAGAATGTGTGCACAGTGTAGCCCCCACCTAACCTCCTAGTGAGCCCTTCTGAGCTACGGGGCATGAGTTCTAGACACTGCGTTCCTCAGACTCCTTTGCTGTTAGGATCTTGCTAACATAGTTATGTCTCCTATGCAGACTTGGGGGTAAGGAGTTGGTACAGGAGGCATCTTCCTTCCGATGGTCAGCATGGTGTGGACACTGGAACTTTGCACAGCTGCCTTCTGGTATCCAGTCTCCAGGTTGGTGGCTACAAAGTTGTTGAAATGACTTTTCGATCCCCTGATCAGTTATGAACATGGTTCTGGAAGTCAATGGTCTCTGAGTAGTTCCTCATTTAAAGCTCCCCAACAGCACCAGAGAGGCACAGCTTCCCCAGGGATTCGTGCAAGCATGTTCTTCTGGATCTGCTGCAGACATAGCTGGCTTCTCCAGCCTTTCCAGTGCGTTCTCTAGCAAAGGATAATGGCATAAAATTCTTCCTGTTCAAATCATCTAGAATGGCCCCCGTCTTGGCTAATTTTCTGCTGTTGTGATAAGACACAATGACCAAGGCAACTTAGAAAAGAAGGTGTCTATTTGGGGCTTACAGTTCCGAAGGGTGAGTTCATGACTGTCGTGGTGGGGAGCGTGGCAGTAGGCAGGAAGATGCGGTGCTGGAGCAATAGCTGAGAGCTCACATCTCGAGACACAGTCATGAGGCAGAGACAGCTACCTGGGAAAACCTCGAGCTTTTGAAACCTCAAAGGCCATTTTGGTGAAACACCTTTTTTTTTTTTTTTTATTTTGTTTTGTTTTTCGAGACAGGGTTTATCTGTAGCTTTGGAGCCTGTCCTGGAACTAGCTCTTATAGACCAGGCTGGTCTCAAACTCACAGAGATCCGCCTGCCTCTGCCTCCTGAGTGCTGGGATTAAAGGCCCGTGCCACCACTGCCTGGTTGGTGACACACCTTTTCCAACAAAGCCACACCTCCCAGTCCTTCTCAAACAGTTCCACCAACTGGGGACTAAGCATTCAAATAGGTGAGCCTACCAGGGTTGTTCTCATTCAAATCCACAACCCCTTTCCTTGTAGCTGACTAATGCAGTGGGCTGGGAATGGAGAACAATAGGCCATTATAGGTTGTCTAGGAAGCCTGGATTTTCTGCGGTAAGCAATGAAAATACAGGAAACAACGTCTATGGGCAGAAAAAGCACAGGGAGGAAATGGAATGGAATGACTCTGTCTTTCCTCAGGAAAGTCTTTTTGCTTCAGGGGAGGTCGAGCCACTCCACAGGTAGCAAAAGTGCAGTCTCTCTCTCTCTCTCTCTCTCTCTCTCTCTCTCTCTCTCTCTCTGTTTTTGAGACAAGGGTCTCATTATTATAGCCCAGGTTGGCCTCAAACTCACAACCCTCCTGCCTTAGCCTCTCAAGTGCTGGAAAGACGAGCATATGCCATTACGCCTGGCTTGTGACCAACCTAAGACTTTGGGGAGAGGTGTTCTTGCGACCGCCCTGGGTATTTAGTCTCCTGGGCATCAGAGGCTTTATTTGCAGCATGCCGATCAGAAGTTAACAACAGAAAGGACTCTCCAGCAGAGACTGTGTGATCACCTTGGTAACCAAGGACCAAATTCCATGTTAAGGTCCAGATAACAAGCAGAAAAAGGCCACAGGCCCAGTCTCTGGCTGTCTGAATTCACACAGCCTCCACTGCCAACTTGCTGCGCTGACCAAAAAAAGACACTGACTTTTAGTGTCCCTTGAAGTCCCCCTTAGCCTGAACTGGCAGCTTTTAGCTCTTTCTTCTTGTGTCTGTGTGTGTGGGGGGGGGGAGGGTGAGGAAGAGAAAGAGAGATTTTTTTTTTTTGGTTTGGTTTTTCAAGACAGGGTTTTTCTGTGTAGCCCTGGCTATCTTGGAACTAGCTCTGTAGACCAAGCTGACATCAAATGCGCAGAGATCTGCCTGCCTCTGCCTCCTGAGTGCTGGGATTAAAGACGTGCACCACCACCAGCCCAGCTAGCTCTTTTTCTAGGGGAGGAGATCACGTTCTTTTCAATGAGGGCAGCTCCTGCCCTTGGTTAATTCTTTCAGGCCTGTGACTTCTAACCTATAACAACACACATGCCTGAAGCCTTAATTGACCCCTTGCCCCTGCAGGGTAGGCCAGGCCCAGTCCAGGGACATCTTTACGACATGAGTCCACACCCAGGGCAGAGTAGGACCCATGTCATCTCTAGTGCCAGGACTGGAGGGAACACAGGCACTGCCAACATTCTTCAATTCAGAGTTTATTGTTCATATAAACCACCAATAAAAACTGTGGGGTAGTCACAGCAGTTCCCGTCTACGTGTGATGTGCGTACACAGAACTTTTCTAGAAACATACATGAACTACCCACATATGTGTGTACTTACATTATAAAAACACATGTCCATTATCAAATATACACATGACATATAAGTTCATACAGGATATGATGCACATCATAAAACTATAGAGAGACCACAAAAATGAACAATATCTTAAAATGATTTCATGGTGTTTCCTTTAGCTCAAATCCCTTTTTGCTCTCACGACGAGAGCAACGTGATTGAATATGCTTGTTTATTTTTGAAAAATCTTGGTTTTACACTTTGCGGGGCCGGGATTTGAATGCCTTATTTAAAATCTGGTTTATTTCAAAGTTCAGTTTTTTTTAATGGCTGCCAAGGATGAAAAACAGGCCTCACGAAGACACCTAGATCCAGACGGACGAGGTGCATTGTGGGGCTCAGTTCAGGAAATCGTGACATTAATTTTCAATTTTCAATTTTATCCACCAATTATGGAGAGGTTTTGTTCAAAACTGGCTTGCAAATTCTCATCTTCTCTCCTGTCAATCAGTTGTTCTTACGAAGAAATTGGAATAATGTTGCATTTTAATACCTCCGGCAAATGGATTTTAAACCCACTCAAACTCTTCATTTAGAAAGGTTTTTTTTTTAAGCAAATTAAAATTTTCTTTTCTTTTCTGTTCCTTGTTTGAAGGGCAGATATGAACGATCTTGGAAATGCATGAGGTTTTCAGCCACCAAAACCATGAAATAATGAGAACGCTTTTAAACTTGGTCTCCAAATTCCCCGATGTATTTGCCTTCCCTTCCCAACAGCTGCTTTATTCAATACCTCTCCCAGCTTCACCTTCCTGCTGGCAAGCACAGAAGCCTGTAGAAACAAGTCCACTACATTTTCCCTGCCACACAAAATCTCATCTTCACTCGGGGAGACGCTGCTGTTTTCTTGTGTTATTACATAAATCCCTCTCAGCCATTTGCCTACCTTTGTGTGTGTGTGTGTGTGTGTGTGTGTGTGCGCGTGTGTGCACATGCGAGTGCAAGGTTTCACTCTGTAGTCCAGACTGACCTGGGACTCACTGTATAGGCCAGACTAACGTTGAATTTGTAGGTGGTCCTCCTGCCTCAGCCTCCTGAGGGCTGAAATCCCAGGCATGAGCCAGCACGCCCTACAACGGCTACTCTTTAAGGAGTATTTATTTAGCTTAATCAGACATTGAAAGCTGTGGTTTCGTTGGGAACTGGGCACATGGAAGCATTAGCAGGCCACAGTATATTAAAAGCAAGCAACAGAGTGAGGATAAGTCTGTCAAGTCCTCCTCCTAATGGAACATTCTCATTCCTTCCAGAAACTGACTCTCGCTGGAATGTCAGGTCAGCTGGGACTGGGGCTAAAGAACCCTTTGACACCTGAGTGACAGAGCCAGCACTGGACTTCCTTTCTAGGGTCCTCTCTGCTGTGTGTGGATGTGGGGCCGTGGGCGGTGGGATCCCCTCATCCTCTCTGCTGTGTGTGGATGTGGGGCCGTGGGCGGTGTGATCTTTACTCCTATTTCCTCTCCTTCACCTATACTGAGTATCGTCCTGTGGCTTCAGGAATGGAGCCAAAGGGATCTATCTACCCGTGCTCCATTGCAGGGCCAGGGCTGGACCGCTGACATCTCTGCTGTGCTCTCTGAGGGCAGCACTGGGAGGGTCTGAGAGCAGCTGCCCGTGTGCTGCCCGTGTGCTGCCCGTGTGCTCAGTTCTGCTTGTCCACACTTTCCTCTCGCTCGTCCTTGCTCACACAGGATGGACAGGCAGGAGGCACAGACTCGGAGAGCATCACTTAGACACTCTCTGGACCAGGGAATTTGTGTTTGGCTTTGGGAAATAGTTTGCTGATTCTTACAGCGAGATCTAAAAGGAAAACCAGGCACTGTGTCTACAAATACAGCAGCGGGGTTACGGGGAGGGGTAGGCCACTATCATCTTCCGGCCTGCCCTGCTTGGACTCTTCAGTTTTCCTGAAGGAAGCGTGGGGACAGTCCTGGGGGCATCTGTCCCTGTGTTCTGTTCCTGACTGCCCAGGGGTGGCCAGGAGCGGGTGTCCTTGACCAGTCTGTGAGCTGTCCTGCAGCTATCCTGCGTGGCCCTAGACTCATCAGATGAGCAAGTCTTCCTGCTGAGTTGCCACTGACTGGAGGAAAAAAAACCATAAGGCTAGGGAGATGGCTCAGTGGAGAACAGTGATTGCCGGGAACGTCTGAAGCCCTGAGGTCAATCCCTGCAACCGCAGTGGAAGGAGAGAACTGTTGTCTTCTGACCTCCGTACGTGTGTCATGGCCTGCCTGTGTCTGTGCTCACACACGTGCACACACAATAACAGCAAAGAAACAATAAGTAAAGGAAAAGTACTCTGCTGAGTTCGGTGGAGGCACAGCCTTTAACCCCAGCAGAGGCAGGCGATCTCTGTGCATTAGAGGCCAGCCTGGTCGACAGAGCGAGTTCCAGGACAGCCAGGACTACACAGAGAAAGTCTGTCCTAAAAAACAAAACAAAACAAACAAACAAACAAACAAATAAAAACAAAGACAAAGAGAAAAGAAGGAAGGAAGGAAGGAAGAGAGAAAAGAAAGAAAGGAAAAAAGAAAAAAGTTTACTGCTTTTGCTCCTTCTAGGCCACGCAGGAATCTCCGCTCTGCTGCCACCACTGCATGGGGTGGCCCACCACACACCTGGAGCTCTGAGTGATTATTGTTCTATAACATCTAACAGAAGCAGCGTAAGCGGGGAAAGGTTTCTTTGGGCTCATGGTCTCGGAGGGTGTTGCTCCATTCCGGCAGAGAAGTCATAGTGCAGCCGCTTACGGCATGACGGTGAGAGCGTGCAGGAGAGGCTTCACGTCACAGGGGAGCAGAGAGCAAGGCAGAAACCAGGGGAT